TTAGGCCAACACAACTCTGATACAAAAACTAGGTAAAGACACACATAAAAAAGAAAATTATGGGCCAATATCCTTGATGAACATAGATGCAAAACTCCTCAACAAAATATTAGCAATCAGAATACAACAACACATTAAAAAAATTATACACCATGATCAAGTGGGATTCATCCCAGGGATTCAAGGATGTTTCAGCATACAAAAGTCAATAAATGTGATACATCACCTCAACAAATTCAAGGACAAAGACCATATAATTATCTCAAAGATGCTGAAAAAAATATTTGACAAAAGTCAACACTGCTTATGATAAAGACTCTCAACAAATTAGGTATAGAAGGAAAGCATCTCAACACAGTCAAAGCCATCTATGACAAGCCCACTGCCAGTATCATTCTGAATGGGGAATAAATGAGGGATTTTCCTTTAAGAACAGGAAAAAGACAATGATGTCCACTCTCACCACTTCTATTTGACATAGTACTGGAGGTACTAGCTAGAGCAATCAGGCAAGAGAAAGAAATAAAGGGCATCCAGATTGGAAAGTATGAAGTCAAACCATCCTTATTAGCACATGACATGATACTACATATAGAAAAACCTAAAGACTCTATCAAAAAACTCCTAGAGCTGGCTAATAATTTCAGTAACATTGCAGGATACAAAATTAATGCCCCCAAATCAGTTGCATTTATATTCTCCAAAAATGAGCTAACAAAAAGAGAAATCAAGAAAGTAAGCCCATTTACAACAGTTACGAAAAAAATAAAATACATAGGAATCAATTTACCCAAAAAGTTGAAAGATCCCTACAGTGAGAACTACAAACCACTACTGAAAGAAATTAGAGAAGACACAAAAGATGGAAAGACATTCTACGATCTTGGATTGGAAGAATTAACATTGTGAAAATGTCTATATTACCCAAAGAGATCAACAGATTCAATGCAATCCCCATCAAAATACCAATGACATTCTTGACAGAAATGACCAAAACAACCTTAACACTCATATGGAACAACAAAAGACCCCAAATAGTCAAAGCATTCCTGAGCAAAATAATAATAATAATAATAATAATAATAATAATAATAATAATAATAATAATNGGCTCATGCCACCTCAAATTTTGAACTAACATTGAGGAAGAGAAATAACAGAAGTAATGATCAAAAGATATTTAAAACATCTAAACAAAAATCAATTAAATGACAGGAATTAAACAATACCTGTCAATAGCTACTCTTGTGTGAATGGATTAAACTCTCCATTCAAAAGACACAGATTGACTGATTGGATTAAAAAGCTAGACCCAAGTATATGCTGCTTTTGAGAGACCCACCTCACCTGTAGACATATACACAAAGTGAAGGGATGGAAAGAGATACACCATGCAAATGGAAACCAAAAATGAGCAGGAGTAGCTATTCTTATATTGGATAAAATAGACTTTAAACCAAAAAACATAAAAAGAGACCAAAAAGGCCACTTTATAACAGTAAAAGGATCTGTCTAGCTAGAAGTCATAACAATCATAAACATGCATGCACCCAACAATGGAGCACCCAGAAATATTAAGCAAACACTCTTAGGCCTAAAGAAAGAAATAGGCCCTAATGCATTAATAGTGGGTGACCTGAACACCTCTCTCTCAGTATGGGACACATCTTCCAGGAGACAAATCAACAAAGAAACACAGGATTTAAACTACGCCTTAGATGAACTGGACCTGACAGATATATACAGAACATTTCACCCAACAACTAAAAAATATACCTTCTTCACATCAGCACATGGAACAATCTCCAGGATAGACCACATATTAGGTCACAAATCTATCCTCGGAAAATTTAAAAACGTTGAAATCATTCCAAGTATCTTTTCAGACCACAATGGACTAAACTGGAAATTAATAACAAGCAAAACTCTAGAAACCATATAAATACATGGAAACTAAAAAATAGGCTCCTGAATGACCTATGGGTTCAAGGAGATATTAAACAGGAAATAAAAAAATTTCTTGAAAGTAATGAAAATAATGACACATCATACCAAAACCTGTGGGATGCTGCAAACTCAGTACTAAGAGGGAAATTTAGTACAATAAATTCTTACATCAAAAGAATGGAAAGACTTTAAATAAATGACCTAATGCTATACCTCAAAGAACTAGAAAAACATCAACAATCTAATCCTAAATGTAGTAGATGGGAACAAATAATTAAGATCAGAGCAGAGATAAATGAAATAGAAACCAAAAAAAAAAAAAAAATAGAAAGGTTCAACAAAACAAAAAGTTGTTTTTTTGAAAAGGAAAAAAAAAAAAAAAAATAGAAAGGCTCAACAAAACAAAAAGTTGTTTTTTTGAAAAGGAAAAAAAAAAAAAAAAATAGAAAGGCTCAACAAAACAAAAAGTTGTTTTTTTGAAAAGGAAAAAAAAAAAAAAAAATAGAAAGGCTCAACAAAACAAAAAGTTGTTTTTTTGAAAAGGAAAAAAAAAAAAAAAAATAGAAAGGTTCAACAAAACAAAAAGTTGTTTTTTTGAGAAGGTAGATAAAATAGACAAACCATTATCTAAGTTAACAAAAAAAAGAGAGAAGATCCAAATAACAAAAATCAGAAATGAAAAGGGAGACATTACAACAGATACCACAGAAATACAAAGAATCATTAGAGACTATTATAAACCACTGTATGACAACAAATATGAAAACCTCGAGAGATATGGATAAGTTTCTGAACACATACAAACTACCCAGACAAAACCAAGAAGAGATAGAAAACATGAACAGACCAATAGTAAGCAATGAGATTGAAGTGGTAATCAGCTATCTTCCAACAAAGAAAAGCCTATGTCCAGATGGCTTTCTAGTTGAATTCTATCAAATGTTTAAGGAGGAATTAATATCAATTCTCCTCAAACTATTCCAAAAAATTGAAACAGTAGCAACTCTCCCATACTTATTCTATTAGGCCAACACAACTCTGATACAAAAACTAGGTAAAGACACACATAAAAAAGAAAATTATGGGCCAATATCCTTGATGAACATAGATGCAAAACTCCTCAACAAAATATTAGCAATCAGAATACAACAACACATTAAAAAAATTATACACCATGATCAAGTGGGATTCATCCCAGGGATTCAAGGATGTTTCAGCATACAAAAGTCAATAAATGTGATACATCACCTCAACAAATTCAAGGACAAAGACCATATAATTATCTCAAAGATGCTGAAAAAAATATTTGACAAAAGTCAACACTGCTTATGATAAAGACTCTCAACAAATTAGGTATAGAAGGAAAGCATCTCAACACAGTCAAAGCCATCTATGACAAGCCCACTGCCAGTATCATTCTGAATGGGGAATAAATGAGGGATTTTCCTTTAAGAACAGGAAAAAGACAATGATGTCCACTCTCACCACTTCTATTTGACATAGTACTGGAGGTACTAGCTAGAGCAATCAGGCAAGAGAAAGAAATAAAGGGCATCCAGATTGGAAAGTATGAAGTCAAACCATCCTTATTAGCACATGACATGATACTACATATAGAAAAACCTAAAGACTCTATCAAAAAACCCCTAGAGCTGGCTAATAATTTCAGTAACATTGCAGGATACAAAATTAATGCCCCCAAATCAGTTGCATTTATATTCTCCAAAAATGAGCTAACAAAAAGAGAAATCAAGAAAGTAAGCCCATTTACAACAGTTACGAAAAAAATAAAATACATAGGAATCAATTTACCCAAAAAGTTGAAAGATCCCTACAGTGAGAACTACAAACCACTACTGAAAGAAATTAGCGAAGACACAAAAGATGGAAAGACATTCTACGATCTTGGATTGGAAGAATTAACATTGTGAAAATGTCTATATTACCCAAAGAGATCAACAGATTCAATGCAATCCCCATCAAAATACCAATGACATTCTTGACAGAAATGACCAAAACAACCTTAACACTCATATGGAACAACAAAAGACCCCAAATAGTCAAAGCATTCCTGAGCAAAATAATAATAATAATAATAATAGTAATAATAATAATAATAATAATAATAATAATAATAATAAATAAAGGCAGAGGAATAAAACACCACCTGACTTCAAATTATATGGTAAAGGTATAGTAACCAAAACAGCATGGTACTGACATAAAAATAGACACTTGGACTAGTGGAGCAGAATAGAGAACCCAGAAATCACCCCTCAAGCTTACAGCCATCTGATAGTTGACAAAGGCAACAAAAACCTACATTGAGGAAAAGACTGCCTCTTCAATAAGTGGTGCTGGGAAAATTGGATATCAATATGTGGAAGAATGAAATTAGATATGCACCTCTCACCATTTACCAGAATCAACTCAAAATGGATTAATGACTTAAGTATAAGACCTGAAACTGTAAAATTAGTAAGGGGAAATATGGAGGAAACAGTTCAGGAACTAGATATGGGCACAGACTTTATGAACATGAGTTCAAAAGCACAGGTAACAAAGGAAAACATAAACAAATGGGACTATATCAAATGTAAAAACTTCTGCACAGCAAAGGAAACAAACAGCAGAGTGAAATGACAACCTACAGAGTGGGAAAAAATTTTTGCTACCTATGCATCTTATAAGGGATTAATAACCATAATATACAAGAAACTCATGTAAATACACAGTAAAAAACCAAATAACCCAATTAAAAAATAGGCTAAGGAGCTGAATAGACATTTCTCAAAGGAAGATATACAAATGGACTGCAGATACATGAAAAAATGCTCAACATCACTAGTCATCAGGGAAATGCAAATTAAAACCACATTGGGATATCACTTCACCCCAGTTAGATTGGCTATAATCAAAAAGAATGAGAAGAACAAATGCTGGCGAGTGTGCAGAGAGAAGGTAATGCCCCTACACTGTTGGTGGGACTGTAAATTAGTACAAACACTATGGAAAACTGTATGAAGTTTTGTCAAACAACTGCAGATTGATCTTCCACATTATCCAGCATTCCCATGTCAGGGTATATACCCAAAGGAATGGAAATCATCATGTTGAAGGGATACCAGCACTCCCATGTTTATCGCAACTCTGTTTACTATAGCCAAGATATGGAACCAACCTAAACGTCCATCAATGGACAATTGGATAAGGAAACTGTGGTGTACATACACCATGAAATACTACTGTGCCATAAAAAAGAATGTAATTCTCCCATTTGCAACAACATAGGGATACAAAGTGGAGTTGGGGAAAGCAGGATGGGGATGGGGAGGGTGGTCGGGAATAACTGGGTGGGAGACATGAGGTATAATCACAATTTGTAGTAATGGGCATGCTGCCAGTATGGATCTGGACAACACATCCTGGGCATGAGTGATGACAATCTGCTTGTATCTTGTGAATATTCAAGTACTATGAAAAAAAATTAATAATTAATTAATTAAAAGAATAATGCTTATACATTTCTATTTCTGTACAACACTTTTTTGTTCATCACTCTAGTTCTTTATCTTTCTTTGCCACAGAGCACCATGTGTTTCTAAAATAACATCTATGGAGAAT